TTATCTGTTCTTATGCAGGGTCTCCACTTCCGCAGGCTTTCTGTTTGAAAGTTGCACGAGTGCGCGGCCTCAGCTCTAACGAGGCTGCGACGTACGTGAGGCGCCTTAGCACGGTATCGTGCACGGTAAGTCTGGGCCGCAAGCTTGGGGGGTAAACTGCCGTTCGCGCTCAAATCCAACCGTAAGTCGTTGGAATTGGCATATGTAACCGTTTTATCTGTTCTTATGCAGGGTCTCCACTTCCGCAGGCTTTCTGTTTGAAAGTTGCACGAGTGCGCGGCCTCAGCTCTAACGAGGCTGCGATGTACGTGAGGCGCCTTAGCACGGTATCGTGCACGGTAAGTCTGGGCCGCAAGCTTGGGGGGTAAACTGCCGTTCGCGCTCAAATCCAACCGTAAGTCGTTGGAATTGGCATATGTAACCGTTTTATCTGTTCTTATGCAGGGTCTCCACTTCCGCAGGCTTTCTGTTTGAAAGTTGCACGAGTGCGCGGCCTCAGCTCTAACGAGGCTGCGATGTACGTGAGGCGCCTTAGCACGGTATCGTGCACGGTAAGTCTGGGCCGCAAGCTTGGGGGGTAAACTGCCGTTCGCGCTCAAATCCAACCGTAAGTCGTTGGAATTGGCATATGTAACCGTTTTATCTGTTCTTATGCAGGGTCTCCACTTCCGCAGGCTTTCTGTTTGAAAGTTGCACGAGTGCGCGGCCTCAGCTCTAACGAGGCTGCGATGTACGTGAGGCGCCTTAGCACGGTATCGTGCACGGTAAGTCTGGGCCGCAAGCTTGGGGGGTAAACTGCCGTTCGCGCTCAAATCCAACCGTAAGTCGTTGGAATTGGCATATTTAACCATTTCATCTGTACTTATGCAGGGGCTCCAGTCCGCATTGTGGAGCCCGCGCCAATAGCCAAGCTGTGTTTGTCAGCTGTTGGTCAGTGGCACAAGAGAACGCTTCATTATGGCAGGCTTGCCAACTGTTTGCTTTTGCCATGTATTTGGGTTTTGTGTTTCACATGGCTGTTGGCCATTTGAACGATACCCGCTTATTGGTCGGATAGGTTCATGACTTGATTGAGGAGGCGGGGACTTCCTGCAGAGCATTTGCACAATGGGTCATATCGCGGGTAGGGAGGACTTTCGTTTGTGTGTGTGTGAGCAGCGCCTCGGCAAGTGGCAAGTTTGCTTGGCTTATGCAGACTTTGTCATTAGTCGCAACTCATGCATCAGGATGCTGCTGTCTTTGCTGCTCTAATTGCCGAGCCTCGTCAATCTTGTAACACAAGGACGAATTTCTGCACTCATCCCTTCGACTCGCACACTTTGCACTTCCGAATTCGAGCAGCTTCAGTGTTTGACTGGTCCGCGCTTCACTTGGGATCCGTTTGTCCCTTCTCTCTGATCAGCTATGTGCCCCAAATTTAGTTTTACTCTGCACAGCTTTCTGCCTACCAGCTGTGCCGAACATTACGTTTTCATTCATCCGCCTCCTGCTCGTGCTAGTGAGAGTATCTGTTGCACTGCACTTGAACTGCATCTTGAGCATCGCACCGCATTCAACATCAGGTGGTTTTCATACGTACCACGCTGTTCGATGTTGCTGCTGCGCTAGGGAAGCGACGCTCTGCTGGGGTAACTGGTCCTGTCGAGTTCTGGTACGACCCTCCGGTATCTGCTCCTGATGCTGACATCACTCCCTCCTTCGCCTTTCTCCGTTTCTAAGGGTTTGACTATGAGGTTTCGAGGTAAAGAGTGCCAGTCCGATGCCTCCATTCTCATCGTTAGTAAATCGTTTTAGTGTGCTTACATGGTGGATCATCATCGTCCTCCCTCGTCCGAATGAGCATGAAGCGCCTTAGAGCAACATGCCGGGCCTCCCAGACTTCCGAGCGGTCATAATCATGCGCTTGAAACGCGAGGTCACGCTCGTACTTTGCCCGTGTGCTATTGTACGCCGGGCATTCCACAAAAACATGCATTTCGTCTTCAACCGCCCCGCAGTCGCGAAGCCTGCAGGCGCGCACTGTTTATCTCTAACTCCCAACAGCCTAACCAGAAACGCAGCTGGATGCAAACGTTGGGCGATTTCAGCGTGGGCCAGCCACTTATGCCGCGCGCCCCTAAGTGGGGCCGCCCCTATCCAGTTCAGATAGCGACATGCCTTGACGCCGGTACTTCCACTTTGGAAGGTGCATGGATTACCTAGGGTATCCGGGCACTCCCACCGGGCGTCTAGACGCCTAGCGAACTCTTCAAGTATGCTGCTTCCCACTGGCAACCTAACGGTGGCGTAATACGCTATGAGGTCGTCACCACGCCGTGCCGTTGGCGGCATTCCTTTGCTCCCCCGTCGCCCTCGCGATCCCCCTGGAAAGCCCACGGCCATGCTGACGGTCTCCCAGGTCGGGGGGACTCTGACGACGCCACCGTCGCCGCCGTCGCTGCCGACGGCGACGGGATCAGCGACGGGATCGGCGACGATGTCGTACTCACGGCGACCATTGTGGCGCGAAATGGCGATTCCGGGTCCCCGGTTGAGGTGGTGATGTACGACAGCGCCGCCGAACGAGTGATGTCAGCGGCGGATATGGGTGTTCACACGCCGGGGAAGTTATCGTACTGCAAATGTACGGCTGGTGGCGCCGTTGCTGTTGCGTTGTCGGTGTCTGACCCAGCCCCGGCAGCAACCTGCGGTGTGAATGTTAGGATTTTAGGGTTTTAGGGACTTGTGGCTTTGAGGTTTTAGGGTTTTAGGGTTAGGAGTGAGGAAAGAAACGTCCTGAAGGAGAATGAATTTCACTAAGGCTGTGCAAGATGAACTTCCATGTCGTAATCAACGATTCTAACTGCCATTACTATCACGTGGCCGTTACCCCTAACGGCTCTTACCACAACGGCCATGGACGAGCGCCTCCGGGAACACAAGGACCTAGGTTCGCCGAACGTGAACTCGGGTCTGGGTAACGCAGCCTCCGCACCAGCAGCCGCCGCAGCAGCAGCTCGTCCCATGCGCCTATCTGCCGTACGGCCGACGGGAGCGCCGCTGTTTACTTCCAAGGTTTCGGCGCCACCCTCGATGCCGGCGGCGGCGGCGGCGGGTG